CCTTGCACTACCACTGCCCAACAACAGCTGAACTTCTTACTAGATGGTAAATTTTACAGCAGTTTTTTCTCCAGGCTGGCCATTTGTACATGGCCTCAGCCACTAGGGGTCAGGCTCTGAGTGGTCGTGGCCTGGTAGGTAAAGTCTAGAAATTTTGTGGTTTTTTTTTTTTTTTTTAATTGGGGGTGGTGGCTGGTTTTGCTTGTTTGGTGGGGTTGTTGTTGTGTGTCATTTGTTTCTCTTCATGCTCTATGTTGTCATTAATCAAATAACCCTGAAAAATCTTTTGACTCCCCGTTTCACAGTTAAACTTGAAGGTAACATGGCAGAAATAATGTGGATCTCAGAATACCTTCCACTGAGAACCTAAGCGCCAGCTGCTGTGTGCCAGTCCCTGATTATACGTGATGTTTAGATGACATGCGGTTCATCGGTGTCTCACAGGAAGATGAGATATTCACAGCGCCCTGAGACTGTCAGAGCATAGAGGTGATCAGAACTGTGCGCCCGTGGCAAGTACAACGTGAAGTAAACACTTTGGAATCTCAGCCGCTCAGTACATCAGCTTTTAGAGCTTGGCCCACTGTATGTGGTGGCTTGACAGAAGTGGGGATAGGGGATAAATCACTTCCTGGACTGAGGTTGACTTCTGTTTTAGTTAGGGTTTTTACTGCTGTGAAGAGACAACCATGACCATGGTCATGCTTATAAAGGAAACATTTCACTGGGGCTGGCTTACAGTTTCAGAAGTTTAGTCCATTATCATCATGGCGGGGAAGCGTGGCAGCACACAGGCAGACATGGTGCTGATGAAGGAGCTGAGAGTTCTACATCTGGATCTTTAGGCAGCAGGAAGAGATTGCCACACTGGGCATGACTTTGAGCATCTGAGTCCTCAAAGCCTGCTACCATAATACTTCCTCCAACAACACCACACCCATTCCAACAAGGCCACACCTCCTAATAGTGCCACTGCCTATGGGCTTATGTGGACCATTTTATTCAAACCACCACTGCTTCTGATCGCTACATGTAATATGGCATTCACACACATGATATATATGTCATATATATATATATCTTGTATGTATGTGTATATGTAAATTCACACACAGGTTTTCTAAAACACTTGGCTAAACTGGATTTATTTTTTAAGAGGAAATTATAACCAAAGCAAATCCCATATAGAAAGAAGCATTTTCTTTGTCGCCAATTTCAAAAGGGGGCGTGGTGGACTGTGGATTGACCTACAACCATGCACATTCTAGGACAGCGCTTTGTTCCCGCCCCGGTGGGAACTTTTTTAACTTCTGTGGCTTACAGTACTTTGTATTAGTTGTGACTCAGAATGTCAAGTTGAAGCCAGCATGTTCGCCTTAGAGTGTTTATAAACCTTTATCGTTGGCCTGGTTTACTCCTCTAATTTTATAATCATAGCACACGCCAAAGGAGCACACAGAATTGTTAGCAATAGCAAAAGTTATAATGCTACTATAACTGCTTCAGCTGAGTCAGTGGGTATGGAGCGTGTTGGTTTTGTTTCAGTTAGAGTTATTAAGATTCTTTACTTGGCATAGGGCTGGTTTATACAGAAGAGCTGATCAGCTTTACTTTATAAGACCAGGGTGTACCACACTAAACTCTCAGAATCCCCAGGCAACTTTTGGGAACAGCATTTGTCTCCACTTCCCTGTTAAGTGTCTGCAAGAGTTGTTTAATAGTTGTCCTGGAATGGTGTGGGATGTGGTACAGATGCCATGCTTTTGGGGTGCCAGTGTCTTCAAGCAACTCCCTACTGTAGGCTGTGCCGTCTAAGGAGTTCCCAGGGACTCGGTGCTGTGGGGATCCTGACCTCCATCACAGGAAAACCGGAATACAGGAGGAGGAGTTCAGGCACACTGAAGACTCCATGACCTCGTAGGTACTGTGGTGGCAGGATGTTATCTATGTTGTTAACCGAGTTGAAAGATGGCAGAAGCTCAAAACAGCAGTTACTTCACTTAAAAGAATTTCCCTTTGTAAATGAGAATATAGGTTGTTTTATGAGGTGAGTTTCAATCTTCTGGATGAGCCGAATGCTTATTGTAACACGCATAATAAAAACCCAGAGACAGATATTAGGGTTCAAGCTGAAGATCAGAAAAGCCAAACGAAACAAAAGAACAGCCAAGCCACTAGAGAGTTCTTACCTCTACCAAGGCTTAGACCAAGGTGTGATCCTGTCCTCAGTGTTGTAATAAGAGTGGCAGGACACAGCCCCGCCACCCGGCTAGCTTTGCCCGAAATAATTACACGGAAACTGTATTCTTTTAAACACTGCCTGGCCCATTAGTTCCAGCCTCTTATTGGCTAGCTTTTACATATCAATCTAACCCATTTCTAATATCCCTGTAACACCATGAGGTGTCTTACCAGGGAAGATCTTAACCTGTGTCTGTGTCCGGTAGGAGAATCATGGCAACTCCTTGACTCAGCTTCTTTTCCCCAGCATTCTGTTCTGTTTACTCCACCTACCTAATTTTATGTCCTATTAAAGGGCCAAGGCAGTCTCTTTATTCAACCAATGAAATTAACACAAAACAGAAGACTCTCCCCCATCATTTTTCCTTTTCCTGTTTAAACAAAAAAGAAAGGCTTTCACTTTAACATAGTAAGATTACAATATAACAAAACAGATAATCAAACAAGAATTAGTTACAATATTTATATCTACTTTATCTTTTATCATAACCAAGGAAAACTATAACTAACCATTCTTCAACTCCATCAAAGACTCCAAAAGGATATAATACAGTGTGACTGCAGACTATTATGCTCTCCACCAAACCTCAGACTGCACGGAGCTCCTGTCTCCTCCTGCCTTATGTTCCTCTTTCTGCCCAACCATATCACTCCTGTCTCCACCTCCCTAGTGCTCGGATTAAAGGCCTGTGACTTAAGAGTGTTGGCATCACCTTTGTGTGAGTTCTGTCTCTCTTTTTAGACAGATTCAATCTCAGGTAGCCCACGGAGTCCTGAGATTAAAGGTCTGTGCCACCACTCCTTGGCCTCTGGTGGCTTAGCTCTGCACTCTTATCTTCAGACAAGCTTTATTAAAAATACAAATAGAGCCAGGCAGTGGTATCTCACGCCTTTAATTCCAGCACTCAGGAGGCAGAGGCAGGCAGATCTCTGAGTTCGAGGTCAGCCTGGTCTACAAGAGCTAGTTCCAGGAGAGGCTCCAAAGCTACAGAGAAACCCTGTGTCGAAAAAAACACCAATAAACTACCACTATAGCTGTTTTAGTGGTCTTGTTGGAGACGTTTCTTCTGCGTGTATACCTCTTACTGCACATGGATTTGCAGCAGTTTGGTCAGTTGTGTGGTCTTGGCTTTCAGGTCTTGTGTGAGCAGCTCCAAAGGAACCAGGGCTGTTCCTTCCTGTTCTTCGCTCTCCCGGCTTTCTGCCTCATTAGAACGGTGAGAAATTTGGGCCCTGAGGGAGTCTGTCAGGGCTGACTTGCCGAAACACTGCAGGATTAAGATGCGGCCCCAGCTCTGCCATATGGAGTCACAACCTGGCCCTGCCACTTGCTATCCAGAGGATGTGCCCAGTTGCCTCAATTTCTTATCTTGTTTTTTTCTTTATCATAATTCTTTATTGACTCTGGAAATTTCACGTTGTGCACCCAATCCCACTCACCTCCCAGTCCCTCCATATCTGTCCCACACCCCTGCAACATGCCACCCCCAAATTAATTGGAAACAAAATAAACAAAAACCCACTTTGCTCCTCTGTCCTTCCAACACTTCCTCATTCATCCTAGTGTCCTCGGGAGCCGCAGTGTGTCACGTAGTACACCCTTTTGTCCCATCAATCCTACCATGCGATGTTCATTGCAGTGAGTCACTGGTCTGGTACAAGGCCTCTGGCATCCCCTATGAGCGTCATTACAATTTCTTGGTGTTTATAACTCGATGGTCCATTTTAAACAAAACTGGCTCTGCTCTACTCGGCCAAGATAAAGCACAATTGGCTAAAAAGGGGGGTTAGAAGAAAGCAAGTCTGTATAGCTGCCTAAGACAGATCCCACCCCACTGTTCTCAACCAGACTGGAGCCCGGGGTGCTGCAGAGGTGGAGCCTTTAAAAAGCAATGAGCCCTCCAACTTCTGCTCGCTCCTTACTGACCCAGGAATGCGGCGCCGTCCAGGAATTTAGTGAAACCACAGTAACCTTAGCAGCTAGTATGAGCGTGTGCATCAAGCTTAGAGGGTGGCCCAGGTTAATTATTTCAAAGTCTTGTAGTAACTCAGTTTCACTTGACCGTTTTCCAGAAAGTTAAATAATTACGAGATGGTGGCAAACTATTTTACTACTCAGTTCGCAATTTGGGAAAGCCATACCAATGGAATCTGACAAAAATGATGTGTGGCAGGGTGGTGGTGGTGCGCACCTTTAATCCCAGCACTCGGAAAGCAGAAACAGGAGGATCCCTGTGAGTTTGAGGCCAGCCTGAGCAAGTTCCAGGACTGACTCCATAGCTACTGGGAAACCGTCTCAAACAATGAAGTGTATGTAGATCAGCACATCTTCTATCACCGTGTTTTACATGGCCGTTAGCTTGCGTTCACTCTAGCCTTGGAGTGTCATTGCTTATTTCCATAGCCCTGATAGACGATGAAGCCAGTACCTATTGCCCCAGACTCTCAGACCCTGGACCTCCTCACACAGGAATTTCTTTCACATTCTTCTGTGACAGCCCTCTCAGCTGTTTTCATGCCAACAGTGGCCTCTTCCAGTCCATCCATGTCACCTCTGACACTCGCTCCAATAGATCTTTGCAGGAGACTCTATTGCCATTGGCTCTTCTAACTCCTAGTAAGCAGCCCCCACCTCAGTGCACGGCTTTCATCACCTCCACCGCAGGTGCTATGCAGACATGATTACTTGAGGTCCCAGGTCCTCCCCTTCCAAGTTCTAGCAGCAGGATGTGTTCCAATGATGAGTCCACAAAAGCAGAAACGGTTGAAAATGTATTTATTTTCAAATAAATGATCGTTTTCAAGCAATAAATAAAAACAGACATGTTTGACTCTTCTAGAAAACAAAAATCCCCTAAACTATGTACATCCTACAGAAATACAGGCATATCAAATGTAGAAATGACGCCACTCAGAAAGATGGGGCTATTTACACAAGATCCAAGTATTGCATTGTTATCTTTCTGAAGTCTAAGTGGATGAGTCATGAGCAGGGAGGAAGGGCAGGGCCCTGGAAGGAGGGCTTCAAAACAACACATACTTTCTCCATCTTTCTTTATGGAGACAAAGTTGAAGGAAATACATCAACACCCAGACACTACATTGAGCCCACTCACAGTGCTCCACAAATTGGTTCCCACACAGGGGCTCCCGCAAAGAAACCACCTCATCCCTCAGCTGGCTGTGGACAGTGGACCACACTGACCTGGTACCAAAGTTGCCGTAGCTCCTGTTTCACCTCCGTGGGAATTCCACCACCCAGAAGCAGTGTAGTCTCCAAAACCTGGCTGAAACTAGGCACACGGAAAGCACCTAGGAACACTAACATATCGGTATCGAGGTCCCATCCACACAAGTCCTGGCTTAGCTGGGCAAGGGTCACATGGATGAGGGGTTAACAATTGCCCAGGCAACGGTGATGGACAACCACTATCAACTATTGTATCATTCCCACGGGCTTCATGTTCACGGCCCAGTCCCTTCCCCTTGGGATTAACCTCCAACCTCCCCCTACCTTCTTGCCACCTTCCCAAGGACTGAGTCACTTCTCATGGCTTCCTCAGCCTTATGGAAAACCAAGCACAGGTCACAAGGGGGAATGGAGCTGAGAGCCACCTGCTCACCTATCCTTCAGACTCCCCCACAAACTCCCACAGATGAGACAAGATTCTTGGGGAGAATTGGGAGTGTTCCTCATTCTCTGACAAATATTTAATAGCTTTTGTCCCATCACCAGAAATCAGTTCTTGGACAGGATGCTGTCTTTTGAAACTAACCATTTGGAATGTCCCTGGGACACGGTCTTCATTAGAGCTATTCCAGGCCATCAAAGAGGCTTCTGGAGAGAGAACAACAGTTTTTTAAGGTCTCCCCCCCTTTTTTTTCAATCAAACCAATGTCCTATTTTCTAAGAGTTTTGGGTCTCATGCTGTTACCAAGTACAAAGAAAATGCCTTTATAAATAGCCCCTTGACATTGTCAAAGAAGGCCTGAACTGGGAAGCTGGGGAGGGACATCTGGAGCTCCCTCTGCCTGTGTGGTTGGGATCCAGTCTGGGAACTAGGACACATTTGGCAAACACACTCGTATAAAAACTGAACGTAGTCTAAAGGCTGCCTATGCGCCCTCCAGAAGCCCTTCCGTTCTCGGAGCCCAGGGCTTGCCTAGCTACAAAACTCTACCTAATCTAATTCTTCAGCGGCCAAGGAAGCAGGGGAAAATGGAGGCCCATACAACTTGGGTCCGCCGTCCTAGAGGCTCAACTCCTTCGTGCCTTCAGCCAAGCAGCAGAGGCAGGGAGGCAGGGTAGCCCTTCCTTCTTCTAAAAACACCAAGTGAGGACTCCAGACTCACCCAAAGGCAGAGTTTGACCCAGGCCACCAATACAAGTCATGCCAACACAGGTTCACAGTTCACGGAGGGAAATGGAAGGAACCCGGGCTATCTGGGATGGCGGATGAGAAAAGAGCATTCCACCATGATCGTGACACTGAGGCTTGAAGTTATTTATGTGTGATCGAGAATGTTCACAGAGATCCAGACTCAAAAAGCGGGGGAAGAGGGGTCCCAATGACAAACAGGGACGTGCTCCCATTCCTGACAAGCCTGCAGTATCTCTAACTGGGCACTCCAAAAAAGTGTTCCCCAGTACTACAGATGGAACATCTCCCCTCCCCCACCCCAAGCCTTCCCCGTAGAAAAGTCTTGTTTGGAAAGGCTCCTTACAGCCTTACAAACCTTAGCCCACTCAGAACCCCAAAGGGCCAAGTCCCCACTTCACAAGAGCCGGCAGCCAGCCCCCTCTGTTCTCCCACTCCTCCATACTTTAAGGAGCCCCAAGTCATGGCAGACACATCTTTTTATTCAAAAGAGGGCTTTTGGAAGTATTCACTTGTCAAGGAGGGATTTAATAACAATTTCTTGGCATACTTCAAGTAAATTCCCAAAAGTGACAACGCCAATTTATCCGAAGGGGGGTACATTTTGACTTACAAAATGCTTCATTTTTAGTTCATCTTTAGTGATCTGGCTTTGATGGGGGCCTTGCCAAAAGATTCACTGTACGGAAATCTGAACTGCACCCAGTTTTCCCAGAGCACCTCTTAAAATATGGCATTTATCACAGACAATATATCCAAGGCGAGTTGTAAGAAAACGCTCTAGCCATCACCAAGCGGGTCACTGGAGAAAGAAAGGCTTGTGTGGCTGGGATCACTGTGCTCAGGAACCAGCTGTTAAAGTGACAACCACAGACCTTTCCTCTGCACTATGGCCCTGCCCACTTCTAGGTTGGCATCACAGGGGGGCGACCATGCTGAGTGGCAGAAACCCAGACACCACTCACTGCCTCGCTGCTAGCACACCTATGTGTTTCCGTGCTCTCCTGTGTGACCGCCAACAGAAATACATTCCCAATCCACATCAGCAGACTCCTGCTTACACATCCTCAAATATTCACTAAGGAGAATGATTCAGTTGGCGACTAATTACAAGTGAATACTGCGGCCTAAAAGTTACCTAGAACAAAATTCCTATGAATACAATAGAAGAACAAGCACACAGCCAGGCACTTCCGGCAAACCTGCTTCCTCCTCTTTCTCTCCCCTCTTAATAAAATTTGGCTGAGCACGTTTGCCAGGAGCTCATTTGTAGGTTTCACTTCAAGCCTTACCACTTTAAGGAAAAAAAAAAAAAATGAGGTAAATTTCTACCTGCAAAGTAAAACCAACGCATACACCGGTCAGTCTTCCCTGGCCCCACACGCAGCCATTATTGCTCTTGGTTGGAGTGTTTTGTTTGCGTTTAAGATGTATTCAAAGTCGTTATTGCCATTCTAGCTGGCCCTGTGGTTAGCCAGGGAGAAATGGATGGGGACAGATCGTGATCACCTGGCCCCCACTGGTTAGTCCCTACTTGCTTGCACAACCCTGGCTGGGGGCCACCCCTGGCCTTGGCATTCAGAGACAAGCCCTAACAGCTGGGGGATGTGGTGATGGGGCTGTGTAAGTACGGCAGGCTACTGGGGGCCGAGTGCACACCCACAGACACAGGGAAGCTGAAGACGAACTGCGAGGTGGGGGTGGGAGTGGCCTTGCCTCTCTCCCGCAGGGGACCCGAGGGGCTGGCAGCCTCGGCAGCACAGGTCGTGGTGAGCACCTGAGACTCGAACTGCAGCAGCTGCCCCATGAAGCTGAAGTTGGGCGAGATGATGCTTCGGCGCTGCTTGACGAACTCGAAAGCCTCCTCCAGCCGCACGCGCTTCTTCATCATCAGGTAGGCCAAACAGATGGTGGCTGATCTGGAGATGCCTGCCTGGCAGTGAACCAGCACTCGCCCTCGGCAGTCCTTCACGGCATCTGGGGCAGAGAGTGTGACATGGTTAGGGCCCTTGGCATCACCACCATTGCATGTGGCAGAAGCTAAGACGTGGGAATGGGTTAGACAAGCCGCACTGGAGGATGGGCGCACTGTTACTATTGGAAAGGGGGGGGGGGGGGCTGGAGAGATGGCTCAGTGGTTAAGAGCATTGCCTGCTCTTCCAAAGGTCCTGGGTTCAATTCCCAGCAACCACATGTTGGTTCACAACCATCTGTAATGAGGTCTGGTGCCCTCTTCTGGCCTGCAGACATACACACGGACAGAATATTGTATGCATAATAAATAAATAAATATTTGCCGGGCAATGGTGGCGCACGCCTTTAATCCCAGCACTCGGGAGGCAGAGGCAGGTGGATCTCTGGGAGTTCGAGACCAGCCTGGTCTACAGAGCTAGTTCCAGGACAGGCTCCAAAGCCACAGAGAAATCCTGTCTCGAAAAACCAAAAAAAAAAAAGGAAAGGACGGACCTGCTAGACTGAGGATCCATTATGGAGTACTTTCTAGACTTAACAACAAAGGTATTTTTGAGGCAGACGCCCAGGGAAATCACACAGCAGAGGTCGTTAGATCAAAGAGAACAGAGAACAGGGACTCAAATCTCCGTTTGTCTTCCTCTCCAGACAGAAGTCTTACTTTGGACACATGTGGAGCCATGCGAGGTGACTGGCCAGGCATGGGCAATGGCTTCCAGCTCCCACCACACACAAGTCCCCTTGGACGGGCTTTCTGGTGAAGGGCAGTATTTTGGGTGGAATCCCCCACAGGCTAGTGTATTGAGAGCGCTAATAATTGAGCTGTTCGGGAAGGCCATGAAACCTCCTGAGGGGCCGTGCTGAAGAAATGGGTTTACTAGGGGCTAACTGGGGTCTGACACCCGGCCCCAACTTCCCGTGCCCTCTCTGCTTCCTGACTGCAGGTTAACGGTGACAACAGCTTCATACTCCTGGCACCAGGTTGTCCCCACTATAAGGGACTAATCCTTCTTAAACCAGAAGCTAGAGTCAGTCCCTCCCTTAAGTTGCTTTGCATCTAATATTTGGTGAGAGCAATTACAGCCACACAAGGGGAGTGCCCTAGCCTGCGCAGTACCTGAAATCCCTACCCACTGCTCCCTGGGTACCTGCTCCGCTACCCCGAGGGAAGGCAGCCTACCAATATACTCGATGGCTTCCATGAACCAGGAGCTGATGTCCGCCTTGTGGTTGTCTTCCACCGGGATACACTTGTACTGGTAGTGTCCTTCGAAGTGGTTGGGGCAGTCCGAGGAGACATTGAGCAGAGCCGTGATCCCCAGGGCGTCAAGCATGTCTCTGCGAGCAGCATGGTAGGCACTGCCGAGGTAGAGGAAAGGAAGGATCTCCACAGGGCCCCCCTGCACCAGAAAGAAACAGAAAGACCTCAGTGGAACAGGCACCCGGCAACCCAGACTAAGGCTGGAGGTACCAGAGCTCCTGAGACAGCAGGACAGCCCACCGACGGACGATACAGCGCACTCGGCCACACTGGGAGTTTACTGTTAATGCATCACAGAGATGTGTGTCATGCGGTTGAGGTATCTGTTTGGTCTGCTGTGTCTACAATGAACACACCAGGGAGGAGATGTCTCCGACAAGAGGGGAGGTCACAACAGGCGTGATATCCTAAAATACATGCTAAGATTTGCGAGCAGAAATGGTGGCATGTAACTGCATCCCCAGTCCATCCGACTGGAAGGGTGGTTGGGTGGGTGGGCATGGGCTTGAAGATCAAGCTGACTGTCTTAGGGGCATGGCTGGCACTCCAAGCCCACTAGTACTTTATAACTTGCTGGTATATGAAGGAGAGCCTGGCTGTCATGGGAGCCCAACGATTATTCCACAGCCTCATCCTTTCCAGAACGATAGTCTCAAGATCCCTATAAGATGGGCCCAAGCAGCCCTGCCTGAAATTCCAGTACCAGGGGGCTGAGATAGAAATAACAAGTTCAAGGGCAGCCTGGGCTACAAAGGGAAACAAAATAGAGGCTAAGCCAGAGGTATCTCCTCCCCCCACCCCCCTTACCTGAGGATCATAAAAGAGAGGGAAGAAATAATTCAATACACCTGACCTAAAATTCCACCATGATACTGGGGGTTCACCACGCTGTCTTTGAAGTAAGGAGTTGTGTTTGAAACCTAAAATTCAGAACTCTCAAAGTTCCTTCACGTTCCCCTGCACTGCCTGACTTAACTCTGCCCAGGGTACTACTACACCTACCTGGTCGTGCAGTGGGGTCCCACAGGAGCTGCAGCCCAGGTCCAAGGACTCGGTGGCACTGGGGGGCACAGGTGGTGGGATGGCTGCCAGGGTCTTGGTTTTAGAGCAGAATTCTGGGTACTCAGAAGAAAACCTCTCATAGCCACCTGTGAAGAAGAGTGGTGGTTCGGGTTAGTGAAGCCACAGAGCCAGGGGAAAGGGGGGACAAAAAAAAGGAGAGCTGTTGGCTCGGTGTGGGCCACTAGGTGGCGCTGTGGGTCTAGCGATAAAGGCTGCCGAGCATTTCCCAGAGAGGTTTGTTTGGTCAGAGGGCCTTATGGAGGAACGGAAGGATGCTGGGGACTCCAATTTATGGCCACGTCTTTAATTTCGGATAAAAATGCAAAGAAGATGTACGACAATATGCCAGAGGGACTTTCTAGAGTGCCAGGTGCCATGAGGGACCCATGGGCACTTAGGCAGCCAGCCAGTGGTGCCCTGGCCTGGTGAGGATTCCCATCTGGGATTCCCAAGAGGCACTCTTTCAGATAGTGGAAAGAATGGGGGAGGGGGAAGACGACTTAGAATACCCCACCAGGAGCCCTTCTGAATCTGAGTTAAAGCAGATTCCAACTGCACTGTCTCTGCCAACAGGGCCACAAACGAGAGGAAACCGTCTTCCCTCATACAAACCTCTTCTGCGGCATAGGTTAGGGGCAAGAAAAGATTTCCTGACCTGAGTGTGGATGAGCCCAGTCAACTTTATCGGCCACCTCTTCTGAAGGAGGGGTTTTGTAACAAAGAGATAGCTTACCTGGGACCACTGGGTGCTGTCCCACAAGAGCCTGAGGGCAGGCACAGGGGGAAAGAGGGCAGGTCTCATTTTCCGGTGACCTCCAAGACCAGAAACTATACCACTTCAACACAGCGTGTAGGTCAGAATCAACCATTCAAGGACAGACCCACACAATGGACCGAAATGGACCGCGGTTGGCTAGCTCCTACCCAGTCCCTGCTAGAAGGCACCTCTGTGGGCATTATTTCCTCCAGCTGTTGACAGCAGCTACCAGGGGGATGACATGTGACCAGTCAAGTGCCTGGCTCTGAAATTCCAACCCTAGAAAACTGCTTCCTGCAGCCACATCACAAGGGTTTTTCAGAAGCAGGGCACCCATCCCCACCCACCCTTCTGACCGGCGACCCACCCTTCTGACCGGCGGCTTTGCTTGCCCTCTGCTCACTCCCTCCGGATATAGAAGGATATCTCTGTGGTCAGAGTTCTTCCTGCTGAGTCACCGTTGCCAGCCTCCAGAGGGGGGGAGCCGGCAGACCTGGCCTGCCAGCTATGAATGTATTTGTGGCCTCAGTGGCCACAACGCCCTCCCCCTCCCATCCGAAACCCTTGTTCTTAAAGCCACCCCAAAGGGTAGCGATGAGAGGCTGAGGGATGAAGGAACAATAAAGGTCTGTCACCAAAGGCCCTTGGTCTCAGCCAAGAAACTTCGGTCTATGGCCCCCAGAACACCTCCATCAGTAAAGGCCACTGTCCCTCAGTGTACTTCTGTGAGACTTCACATTTTTAACTATCTCTTTGTCTATTATCATCCATTTAAGCAATCAGAATACTTTCTTAAAGACTGAAGTTACTAGTGGTTCTTGGCAAAAAGCTTCCCACCCAGCTCGCCCCCGCCTTACCTAAAAATAAAGGGTGGGGCTGACCACTGGACCCCAGATTCCAAGGCACAATAGCAGGACCCTCCAGAAGTCTCAAAACTCCTGAGGAAATATCCCCACCCTCCCCATCATAGGGGGAACAGGGTTGCGCCAGCCTGAAGATTCAGAAAGGCCATGGGCTCTGCAGACAGGTCACACCTCGGCCTTCTGCGTCATCCGCTGTGGCCGTGCGTTCTACTAACGCCACCGGCCACCCTCTAACCTCTCGGGGCCTCCAGCTCCTAGTCAGTAAGAAGAGATTAATCTCCCCTGGCACGGAGTTCCTGGCAGACTGATGTGCCTGCCTGGCAGAGGCACCTTGGGAGAGAGGAGCTGTGGCTGTTTGAGGGCTGTAAAGGCAAGTACAGGGTTGTCGCTTACAAGGAAGAAGAAACTATTAAGTCCTTGCCTCCCATGGCCAAGCCTCTGTTGAGGCTTTTGGATGATACCTGGATTACTAGAAACGATATACCCCAAACGGGGGTCCGCCGGATATGCCAAGCGGCCCTGTGGCAAGCATGAGGAGTGCCGGGGTTAAACAGGACAAGGAAGCCCCACCCCCCACCCCGGGGACTCATGGGAAGGTTATGGGGAGGGGCCAGCCTTGATGCCAGAATGACCATCAGGACAAGTGTTCCATTTACACTGGCCTTTCCCTTGGGAACTCTGCTGGCTTCCCCAGGTGGGCGAATCAGCCTTCTCCTGCCCATACAAGAGATCAGAAAGAGTTCTGCTGGCGCCTCCTCAGCTCCTGCCCAGACCCAGGCGGTCCCAGCGAGCATGGACATAACCTGAGTAGCAGAATGTGTTGAGTTTTTTAGGGTGTGACAGTTTAGGGACTGTCCACTGGAGTGCAGGTAACCCTCTTCCTGATCGCGATGTAAACGTAATGGCCCTGGCTTTATTGAGACGGGGCCCCACTCTGTAGTCCAGGCTGGCCTCGAACTCATGGCAGTCTTCCTGCCTCAGACTTCCCGCTCCCCAAGTGCTGGGGTTACAGGTATGAGCCACCACCCCGGAGCAGTGTTATTTCTTACAGTGTGTAGGGAAAACTGCCTGAAAATATCTTCACATCAGGCCCTCCTAGCAAACCCCATCTTCATGCCAGTACCACATGGCCACAGCCTTTTGTAACAGTTTTATCCAAAACTTAATCCACTGTACACAAAAGGGTCAGGCTTTCCCTGCACCTTCTGCACAGGTCCAAGAGAAGTGGAAGCCAACCATGATGGCATATACCTAGTCAGTTCGGCCATCTCCGAAGCACTGGGCATCTTCTGAATAGAATTTCCTAACATGCCAATGAATTTCAACTTGTTTTTCCTAAGTCCTGCTGAATGTAATTAACCTAGCAGATTTCTGAAAGGTGTTTAAGCATATACTTCCTTAGGCTGGGGTGAGGTTCGGTGGCAGAATGCTTGCTAAGCACATATAAAACAGCAGGTTGGTTCCTAGCACCAAGGGGGAGTCAACAAAAAAAGAACTTACTTCCCCTGCTTATTATCTTTCGGCCTATAAGACAGGAATGAAACATTAGGCATGGCCTTCACAGGGCTTGCTTGAGTAGCAACTACATCCCCAGTTAGCTCCAAGGCTCTCATTCTTTTACACGCAGAGCAAAGCATTTCAAAGCATAAATCATGAACACGGGGCCTCCTGGCCATAAATTCTCCACTCTAGTTGGCTGCTGGGCCCAGCAGGAGTGGAGCTAACACATGGGAAAGCACTTTGTAAGGTTGGCGCTGGTAATGCCACCATAACAGGGTTCCCAGAGGGGAGTGGCTGTGGTGGCAGCTACTGCCGTGGACCTTAATGAGGCTGCCACTTTCTCCTATCGTCCTGAGCCACCATCTTGCTCTGGCCCAGAATGGAAGTCTAGGTTGTCTCAAGGTCATATGCCTTTGGGGACCTCACCTTAACCAAGCAGTCTTCAGACCCAAGTGGGCTTCTGACTTTGTGGTTCCTTCCCAGGCCAGCTGGCTGAACCCCCTAAGGCCTCCCTAGCTCTCTCCTGCAGTCTCTGTCCTCCCACGCTATCGGACGGACGTCCAGCAGGCTGGCCTGTTACAGGGTGACTTGTCTTTCAGCCGTGTTCCCTCTGCCAGGAACTGTCTCTCTCAGTAAGAAAAACAGCCGTCCAGTTCTACAGGTTCTGAGCATCTAAGGGAATTTCTTGGCTCCTAAACGACCACCTTTTCCTACTAGGTAAGAAGCTCTGAAGATCTTGAGGATCAAGGACAAACTCCACTGGACGCCTCTGGCATCTTTAGTCAGTTACCTTTGTTGGCTCTAAACACCTAGAAGCCATTCATTGTAATGGTGTAGCCAATGCCATCAAGGCTTGGAATTCTTGCTTGAAACTTACCAATTTTATAATCCTAACACTCCCACCCAATCTTTTCCTCTCTGGGACACAGTGTTACAGAAAAAAAAAAAAGCCAGTCATTCTCCCTGTGGGTAGGCAGGAAATGTGGGCAACCCCTTGAGCTAAGCTCCGAGAAGGCACTGGGAAAGCTGGAGATAAGAACAGAGAGAGACAAGCAGGCACCGGCAGAGGTCCTGGTCCCTTTCTTCCCTGACACAAGTCAGGGTCAGGTCAAAGGCCTGGGGGCAGGTGAGTTTTAACCAGGCCGGAAAGGTGGAGGTCTAGAGGACTATCCCAGCTGCAAGGAGGTTTGAATGAGAACTGAAGTCAGGAGATAAATCCTAGACGGCAGGGAAGATGAAACTGATCAAAGCAGGCCGTGTGTGTGTGTGTGTGTGTGTGTGTGTGTGTGTGTGTGTGTGTGAGAGCAGGCTGGTCAAGTTTGTAATCCAGCTGCCTCAGCCTCCAGGTTACTGAGATCATAGGCATGTATCGGCCACACCAGGCTGAAATCAGTGTGTGTGTGTGTGTGTGTGGGTGTGTGACAGATTAAATGTGTAACACTGGGAATGCTGGCAGAAAAGAATTATTACTACTATTAGGCTAAGAAATTTCTCCTGTTTTTTAAAAGTCAGGCTTTTCTAAAACTCACAAAGCCAAACATTTATGGAGGGCAAGAATCTGAGAGATATATACTAAGGATTAAAAATCTGAAAAACTTAAAAATTTTAGAAACTGTCCCTAAAATGCCTTATAAGATTTTACGTCAAAAGTATCTTCCATGACTTTTACTAGCAAAAAAGAAAATATTAAGATCTTAGTTAACTGCTTTTAACAAAACGTGATCAATAGCAGCAAATACACAGGACTAAAATACTTCAGCAAAGTTTAATTCCTGCTTTTCAACCCTTGCTTGTGAAAATCCACTGTTAACTACTGACAACGTGTAACAAATTATCCTTTTAAGTGATCAAAAAAAAAAAGGAAAACTGAGATTTCTTTTAAAGGCATCTAACGGGGGTGGGGGTGGGTGGAAGACGACAAACTGATCGATTGCTTAGGCAAGGAAAGACGGCATTTCTGAGACCGTTGTTCTGTATCCTCATCCCAGGGATGGCAGGGGCACCCACCGTCTCCTTCCCTGTAGTGCACTGTCTGCCCCATTGCTCCGCCAGCAGCAGGAGGCCCTGATTCCCCAGCTGAGCCAAATTATCCCTTTAATAACTAAGAACAAACCTATCAGGCCTCTGGGCCAGGATTCTCTCCCACCAAGCCCCATCTTCCAGGCTGGCACCCCCTCCCCGGTGGAGGTGGGGGGAGGGGCATGGGGGAGTGTTAGTGTCCATGGCTTCTCCTTCCTACAGCAGACGTTTTCTTGCTGCCCTCTCTACGGAGGCTGGCATTAAAGAGGAGGGAGGAGGCTGTGGCTCAGTATGTACGTTCACATAAACTATGGCGGGCAGATGGACGCTCTGCTACCTCTACAAAACAAGGGGCAACCAACATCCACCTCCACCCCGGCCCTCACTTTAGCCTCTTGCTCCCAAAGTCAGTCAGTACGCTGAACTTCTGGCTAGGGCTGGTGGTGAAGCTGAGATAGCAGCTGTTCCTAAACAGATGAAAACAAAGCAGTCCAGGCCTCAGAGGACTGGGAAGTGGCCTTTTGGCTTTGGAGGGGCAAGGGGACAAACGACCCCCCAACACGGACAAACGACCAAGGAAAGGAGCAGGAAAGGCAGAGTTCAGCCAAGCCCGGCTTAAAGGAAATGGCTTTCTGAGGACCAGGCATCTGACCTTTCATTAGGGAGGGACTGTCATTTTGCCCAGAGGCCACCTGTCCTACCGGGTCTTACGTCAATACTTGTCCTAAAGCGTTTCTCAGAACTGGCCTGGCCTCCCGATCTCCGGATCCGAAAGAGGACCGGCAGAATGCCGCGAGCCACGAGATTTAACCTTAAAAATACGCTTCCTTTTCTAGACGCCAGGTCCCAAAGCCTGCGGCCGGGAAGGAAGCCTTAAGGGCTCCCAACTAAGGCCCACAGCTGCCGCTCAGGGGCGGTCCCCTCCGGATTTCTTCCAGGAAGAAAAACAAGACAATCTCTGACTCCACGTGGGGCTTAAATGCTCCCGAAGCTAAAGAGTCGGAAAGCATAGCCCCGGCTCCCCCAGGGGACTTTCACCAAGACAGTTTCATCTTTCCCACCCCCGATACCAATTCGGGGAGAGCCGGCAGGCTTAAGCAATAGCACAGACGCGCAGCCTGGGGTCCAAACAGGACCCCGCCGAGGGGAGGACACTGGACCTGCGCCTGACCCGGGCCTCCGGGTACCGCGTGGGGCTCGGCTTTGACCGCTAGGCGGTCGCTAGATCCGGGATGAGTCTTTCCGGCAGTCGCTCCTAAAAATGCTTTAGGGAGAAGGCGGAGAGAGACTAGGACTCCCCTGGAGAAGCAAAAGGCGGCCCTCGCGAAAAAATTAAGAAAAGTCAGCAAAATCGCCTTAGCAGTTCAGCCTCGGGTCAACAGCAGCGTTTCCCCGGCAGCTGACGGGTCAAATGGTCAGGAAACAACTGCAAGGAACAAAGCCCCCCGCTGTTCCGCAGGGCCAGCCCCGCTCGCCCGCACTCAGCCGCTTCCCGGTGCTTTTCCTAAGGGACCGGAGAAAAGGTTTCTCCCGAGACTCCCTTCTAGTGACGAACAAGGCTCCAAGAGGAAAAGTGTACTAGAGGGGAACTTCGACAGGGAAAGGGGCGGCTCTTGGAAGGCGGGGAATCCGAAATACCTCCCGGGTTCAAAATTAAGACTCGACCCGCGCGAAAGAATGCGCGGAATGCGGCGGCCGGAGATAGGGGCGCAGCGCGGCAGGGGGCGCCCGACCCCCGCTCTCGCCGCCCGTTCCGCAGCCGGAGGCCCGCACAGCCGCGGGGTTGGCAGGTGCTGCGAGCCAACGGTCCCTTTCTCCAGGGACTGGGACAGTGTGCGACCTTTTGGGGGAAGTCTGACTTCTAAATGACAAGCCACCTTCTCTCCGGCCGCCTATTTAGGCCAGGGTTCGCTTCTACCAGGCACGCGCCGCTAGCAGAGAGTGGAGACCGGTGTGGAACAAAAGGTGGTGATTCTCCGTTGCCTGGATTAGTAGGCGGCGCGGTCCTGTCCCGTGTCCTCCCTAAACAGCACACTCCAGCCTCCGCGCTCCGGGAGCCTAAGTCTAGCCCAGGGCAGGAGAAGCTGACTGCCTTCCAGAAAAGCTCTGAGTTGGGGCACCAGAAGACAAGATAAGAACGCTTCCCAGATCTGCAACCCAATTCTCCTTCCTGTATTTACCAAAGGCGGGACTGTGTACGAACTCTAGAGGCAGATCCCACCTCGGCATTCGCCCTCCTTCACCTCTCTCTAGGGTTCTCGGGGCCACACCGAACCAACAGGCCTCTCTTGTCCCTGTAAGGACTTAGGGGCGCGTTCTCAACACTCGAAACTGGGCTGCGCAAAGGAATCGCTGCCAGGTTCCAGGTCAGAACCGTTCTTGTCAATAAACACGGAAACTCTAGGAAGCATGCAGATTGCAGGTGGCTGGAGACACACGCCAGCACGCCCCCCACCCCAGACTTGGGTTCAAAAACATGGCAAAACCGTGCACACTGACCCGCACGGGGACTCCCGCAGCCCGAAGTCACTCAGGCACTTCTTCCCGTGCCCGGCAGGGCGCAGGCCGCCAAGTCCCTTACATCTACCTACCTACCCCTCAGCTCCCTCGCGGGTGCCCACGTTTACCTTTAAGCAGACAGATATCTGTGCGCTCGGCGTTACGGCGCAGCGCCTGCACGACCAGCGACACGGTGCTGTCCTCGCGAAGGCTCTCGGCGCGCGGGCTGCGCTCGTCGTAGACGATGACCGCTGAGTAGAGGCCGGAGCGCAGGCGGGCGCGCACTTCTTCCTCGGCGGGCAGAATCTGCTCCAAGCTCACAGAACCCTTGGCCCTCCGCCTCACGATGGTGTTGCAGCGCACGTTAACCGAACCTCGGATGTAGCCCGCGCTGTGAGCCAGAAACGGTCTGCAGTCCAGCAGCAGGCACTTGCCGCTGCTCAGCAGCCCCAGGGCTCCGTGGCTGCTGCTGCCGCCCGCGCCGCCACCGTTCTCATCTCGGTTCATCAGCCTTTTGAGCACGCTGCAGTCCATCTCCCGCAGTTCCTCCATCTTCACCATTTCGCCGGGAACCGCAGCAGCTGGGGAGCTGGAGAAGACAAGGGCACCCAGGCCAACTACAGGAAGGCGCAGGCGAGGGCTAAGAGGACGCCTGTCGAAGTGGCCGCAAACTTGGCCCCAGCCTCTTGTTCTCCCCACAACCCTTCCTCCTCCCGCAGCCTCGACGTTACATAGCAGTCCGAGCCGAGCCTTCTCGGACTTCAGAAGCAGGCAGGCGCGCGGCCCTCCGGGGGGGAAAGTGACCGAAGAGGGGAGTGTGTTTACGAGAGAGGGCTCCCCTCGGTTTGCTGCTTCTAGTGTGTTTTGCTAGCTGGGCTGCTCCTGCCGCCACCAGCTCGGGCGCCGCTGTTCCACGCAACACCCCGCTGGAGCTGAGCGCACTACCCCAGCCAGAGTTTCCTCCTCGGCTTAGAGATTTATTAATGCTCGCCCGCTCTCCAGGGGGAGGGAAGAGTCATTACTACCTCGGCAGGCCCCGCCCCCCGCGCGCGAGCGCCCCGCCCCACCCCCACCCCAGCTCGTGAATGGAGCGCCGGCCCCCTCGCACCCAGTCACGGGACCTCGACGTCACAAAGAGAGGAGTAAACAGGGCGCTCGGTGCTCGCTGCCAGGCCCATTCATAAAACTAAGACCTAGAGGAAAAAGGAGGCAGCCTCCGACCCGCCCGCGAGCCGGCAGCTCCCGGACTTTGTGAATGGAGCCGCGGCGCGTCTCTGTGTCCTTTCCTTAGCCCCGGAGCTCGGCGTCCGCGCAAAGACTGTAGCGGGTGGCGACGCCGGTCTAACCGAGGCCTGGGCTCTCGCCTCCCCCCTCCTCTGCCCCCGAGTCTCCTAGATCTCCCCCTCCTGCAGCTCAGTGGACCCGAGCGCTGAGCGGCTGTCACCCCGCAGAGCTTGGGGACCTCCTCTCGCCGGACTTTGTTCTTGGAGTCCTGCCGGTTGCGTTTCGTTTTGTTTTTAATGCGATTGATTTCCCAGACGTTGGTTTTTAGATTAGCGTGATCGATTTCCAGCCTGACCCATTATATCAGCTTTATAGCTTCCCGTGGAACGTGGGCAAACCTCGATTTAGAAGATGAAAGGGTCGGCCCTTGCGCCAAAGCCCAGTAACAAAAGAGAAGTGTAGAATTTGTTACTTTACAACCCAGAGGTGGCTGTTAATTAGCCGAATGGTGTGCCTATGCCGGGAGAGCTGGGCTGCACTCCGGCCCAAGCTTCCTATAACGTGTTTATTTAACCATGGTTTGGGGAGGGGAGAATACCCCGACGTTTTCCGTTTCGGGGGAAGTCCTCGCCGCCCTCTTGGTCACACGCGAACTGTCCTCTCAGGAAATGACTATTAGGGTCCACATTTGGTGCTAAGGGAGATGCTGAAAAGTGTCCATGCGAAGACTGACCTTTTTATCAGCTCGGAGAAGATTCGAGTTTCTACACCCCTCTTTCCAGATCACCTAGTATCCGCACCCAGGTTTTACTTTGCCAGAGGCAATTTCCCAAGGGCTTGCTTTTGGCAAGAGGGGAGGTTGTGCGCGCACGCGGTGGGGACCTCACAGAAGCCAAAAATTATTCTGCCGAGATCTTGCCAAGTCTTGTTAGCAAGAATTAATCACCGAACGAGGGAATTACGGGATTCGCTCGCGGCCTTGGTGGCGGCGAGGTCGAGTGTTCCATTTCAGGTCGCGGGTGGAAGAGGGCCACCGCCTCAAGGTCCTTCCCGCCCATTTCTGCCCTCTCTACTCTTGCCCTCTGCTTTCTTTGTTCCCTGAGAAGCGGCTCCCCCGAGCTCACCTCCAGCCCGCAACACCCATCTCCAAGGCCTTCTACCTGTTCTTCTTTCCACATGCACCCTGAAGTCCCCGACACCCCGATCTGGGTCCGGTGGGCTGTAAGACGCTGATCATCCGTGGAGATCTTTCCATTTTGCTTCAGGTTCCAAAATGGGCACTGGAATGTTCCTGCCTTGAATTTTTAATTTTGTTCATGGATTTTTCCAATCAAAAAGATGAGTGTGGATTAATTTGTAGCTGACATTTTTAGTGACCCCCGTCGCGCCTCAAATTTTGGCTCCTGGAGTGCGTGAACACACTACTCCGGGAAGAAGCCACAACACCAGAATGACACATGCTGCCTGGGGCAGTGTCTTAACACTCGTCACTCGGGCTGGGAGGGCAGGAAGGACGCGCTACCCCCAGTAAGAGGGCAAAGGGGGCTGGATTCGGTTTCTCTTGTTCCGGGGTGGGGGGTGCTGAGGACGGCTAATGCTTTTCCCTCTCGCTAGCCTGGCATTCGTGGCCCTGTCCTAGGCATCCCTGGTACCTCGACAGCCGGGACCAGATTCGCTCTTGGGGCAGGGGGGCGGCTCCCCCAGTTTACAAAGCCAGCGGGTACCAGGCCTCAGCTCCCGGAGCAAGGAAGCACAGACTGCTTTACAAGGGCGTTAACACAACGTTTCTCCAAAGAGTCTCAGTCCGAGCCAGGTCTGGACCGATTTCACCCGAGTTATAGGAGTGGGGTGGGGGGAGGAGGGTTGTCCCCAGGTGGCGCTGGCCACGCTCGGCTAGCCTTTATCTCCCCTGCTCTAGGGGAGTCCCCCTCCCCCCCGCCGGCCAGGCCCGGGCCCAGTGCTCACGTGGCCCGTAAATAACAGTCAAATCCGGGTTGGTGCGGGGAGGGGGGAATGCCCACCGAACAAAGGGCTGCTTCTGCACCTGACAGTAATCCGTGCTGGAGAAGCCCATAAATCGCGTAGACGAGTCACACGCAGGGGGTGTAAGCAGGCGCGTGTGAGTGTGTGTGTCCACGTGTGCGTACCGGCGCCTGCGCGCCTGTTTCTGGAGGTGGGGGACAGACACTTCGGACTTAGTACATTTAAGCTAAGAGAGGCTTTTGTTGGGAAGAAGATGTTGAATAAAACAACACAATCCCTTTCCCCCAGTTCAGGAATTGCCTTCCGTGTGTGAATGTCGGCAAATGAGCTTTAAATGACAGCATTGTGTTTACCCGGATGATGTGTGAGCACCCTGGGTAATTTTCGTAATGGAAGCGTGTGAGCCATTTGGTCCACAGTTAGGTGACTACAATGTAAGGTCTACCCAATAGCGGTTATAGAAAAGATACAAAACTAGCCTTGCATTGGTCCGCCGGCTGAGGGGTGAGAAACAGTCAGTTTACACAGGAACTTCCTGCGTCAGCTTGTCAATAAAATCTTTCAGAAAACAAAGGCATTTGGGGGAAGATGGCTTGAATGTCGTTTCAGGATCAATTAAGAGTATCTGCAGGGACTGGGGTGAGATTTCCCAGTTTACATTCAGAAGTAAACCTTGGGGTGGAAATGCTTTGGAAATTTCACTTTGACACGTGAGTCCTATTGCCTTTCATCAGACAGTCCTTAGACCGACCTTTTTAGCTGGTGTCAGGCCCCAGCAAATCTCTGAGCTTGTTTAAGAACCTTTCTTTCCAATTAGGAAGTTTTGTGATCTGGGGATTAGAAGCCGGGAGTGCAGTCCCCAGAGAAGACTGGTTTCTATTCTGGTTTTGATGCTAACCTTTGATTCACAGCCCTGCCACAAAAGTAATTGAATAAAACTTAAAAAAAAAATCCTCCATAAATGAATGAATAACGGAGGTGAAGATGAGCGGTTGGGTGGATCCCCTGGCTTCTGGCCTTTTTCGTTCCCCTCAACTGCACAGTGGGCACCCTTTTTACCTGAGCCTGTTTGGGCTCTGATAGTAAAATACATGTAGGAACTGGAGTCCAACTCAGGCTTCAGGCCGAAAGAGTCCCCATAACATGTCCTTAGACAGCTCTGCAAACACTGAATTGAAATCTGTACCTCTCCTTCCTGCCCATCTCTGATCCTCAAGCTAGAGTTTGAAGGCCTTGGGAATCGTCAACACCTAGAAATCAGCAAAAGAATTCAAAAACACAACCTAAACAGTTTAGTTTATAAGATAGGATGGGTTTCCTGTAACTCAGGCTGGCAGGAGACCTGCTGTGCTGAGGAGGCCGTCCTTGAACTCTTAATCCCACTATCGTTCTTTTCGAATAATGGATTCCAAAGAATTCAAATTTCCCCCAGGAAACTGTGGAAGGAAAAAGCTGATGCCCTAATGCCAGAAGGAGAAATTTACTCGGAGGAAGAGCTATTTCACAGGTTCTCAGACCGCTTTTTAGCGGCAGACTTTGCAGCCAAGACCACGACAGAGACCAAACTTTGACCAAGATTAATTATGCATACCCTTTGCTATTTTTTTTTTTTTTTTTGATTTTTCGAGACAGGGTTTCTCTGTAGCTTTTTTTTTTTTTTTTTTTTTTGGTTTTTCGAGACAGGGTTTCTCTGTGGCTTTGGAGCCTGTCCTGGAACTAGCTCTGTAGACCAGGCTGGTCTCGAACTCACAGAGATCCGCCTGCCTCTGCCTCCCGAGTGCTGGGATTAAAGGCGTGCGCCACCAACGCCCGGCTACACTGAATTGAAATCTGTACCTCTCCTTCCTGCCCATCTCTGATCCTCAAGCTAGAGTTTGAAGGCCTTGGGAATCGTCAACACCTAGAAATCAGCAAAAGAATTCAAAAACACAACCTAAACAGTTTAGTTTATAAGATAGGATGGGTTTCCTGTAACTCAGGCTGGCAGGAGACCTGCTGTGCTGAGGAGGCCGTCCTTGAACTCTTAATCCCACTATCGTTCTTTTCGAATAATGGATTCCAAAGAATTCAAATTTCCCCCAGGAAACTGTGGAAGGAAAAAGCTGATGCCCTAATGCCAGAAGGAGAAATTTACTCGGAGGAAGAGCTATTTCACAGGTTCTCAGACCGCTTTTTAGCGGCAGACTTTGCAGCCAAGACCACGACAGAGACCAAACTTTGACCAAGATTAATTATGCATACCCTTTGCTATTTTTTTTTTTTTTTTGATTTTTCGAGACAGGGTTTCTCTGTAGCTTTTTTGATTCCTGTCCTGGAACTAGCTCTTGTAGACCAGGCTGGCCTCGAACTCACAGAGATCCGCCTGCCTCTGCCTCCCGAGTGCTGGGATTAAAGGCGTGCGCCACCACCGCCCGGCTACCCTTTGCTATTTTAAACATAAACCTCTGTTAATGCCTGGAAGACAGACTGGGTGGTATTGGGTCTCTTTATTTTTTCTTTCCAATGGGGCCACAGTGAATAAATCTGTCCTTGCTGTTCCCTCTGACCTGCCTCTTTGTTGGTATACTAGGGACGGGTGGATGAGCTTACCTTGTCGGGACTGCCAGAGTCCATCCTCCCAGTCTAAAATCTCCACAAATGCCGGGTGGTGGTGGCACATGCCTTTAATCCCAGCACTCGGGAGGCAGAGGCAGGCGGATCTCTGGGAGTTCGAGACCAGCCTGGTCTACAAGAGCTAGTTCCAAGACAGACTCCAAAACTACAGAGAAACCCTATCT